AATGCAAGAGCCTCCCAGGAGCTATTGGTCGAGCAGCAGCCATGTTTACAGTATGGATGGTCCAGACATTTGGGGTGAAAGCTCAGGAGTTCTCGAGCTTATATTGGGGGTGAAAAAAATCGTACAACGTTGCAAAGGGGGCAAGACAGGTCTTAGGGTGGTACAACGGACTCGTACGACAGGACGCATCATCGTACGACATGAAAATACTCGTGCAACACTCGTTCGGGGTCTTACGAGTGCATGCAAAGTCGCACAACACTCGTACTGCCTGTCGTGCAATTATTTTTCATCGCGTCAGTCGCTCAAAATATCGGAGCAGCACGGTTTTTTTTCCCGACTGAGATGCGACCATTTTGTCGCATCTGGATCGTACAATAAGTGGTACAACGGCTACAACGAGTCGTACAACTGGAAAAATTTCGAGTCGCAAGCCGTTGTAGTCTGTTTGGCAACAATTGTGAAAGGGGCTTTAGCCAAAATAAAAAGCATGATCATTTGAACACTGCTATTACATTAAAAGTTTTTGGGCTGTTGCCATGGCAACGGTAGACCAGAATTTTTTCAGATTTTACCACTCAACAAGAGTGAAAGTGTAACCTGCCTGCCAAGTTTGAATGAAATCAGCCAAACCAAAAAAATTTTCATTCGAATTAATACATGTACATGAAAACACTGGAAATCACACACACACACACACACACACACACACACACACACACACACACACACATATGCGCACACACTCACAAAAGAGTTTTAAAGGCAATCCTAGCAGAGAGAAATGCTCAAAATCCAAGTAGTTTGCAACTAATTATATAAAACTGTATTGAAAGCATGTACTTGTAATTAGTCACTAGAATAGATCAAATGAGCTGCCTATTGAGCCACCTTATAATGCACATGATTTTAACCTCTATACATCACACTGTAGAACTGCAATCACATCGACCACCCACAAACATGTACATGTTTTCAGCTTGCTATTTTCTATGCACTCATCAAGATGACTTTAATCAATAACATTTTTTTTTTCTGTTTCAATATAACAATGATGATGACATAGCTTGTTCAAAGCAGTCATGCGAAGCAATCCATCTCATGCATGTGAAAACTAGACTATATCCCATAAAATGTACTGATTAAATCCTGCCCAGAAACACAATGAGAGATTACCTGTCATGCATAATACAAAGATGAGATGAGATTAAATTCACAAAAATCTACCTAGCATACAGTACTAAAGCCATGGGGATGTGTGGAGTATATAGAAATATGACAATTTAAATTTGAAACAAATTTAACATGATCTTCAGTTTGAGAAGTGACAATATTTGCACCAGCAGATATAGGAGATTGTAATTGTAGGGAGAAACTAGTTGCGTATCAATCCAAGGTTGTCAGAAAAACTAATGACACATATCAAAGTAAGAAAGTCAAACACTACACATGTACATATCTAGTGAGCACTATGATTATAAAGTCTTAAACTCACTTATTACTGCATATCTGATATTAACTGCTGAGGGAACACAGTATGCTATGTTATGTACATTATACAAAACAGTGTGTCTCATCTATAATTCTATAGTTTTCTAGTCTACTTTGTGAATAATGATGTTTAATTGATTTTTACATCGACTGTGTTAGTCATTTTAAATTGGATCACATGTCATGAATAATAGATTTGTTACCAAAAGCAAAAATATTTCTATAATAAGAATAGATCCATTACTTTTTAAGTACTACCTAATATTATGCAAATAAGTTTTCCTGAACCCTGGTTGAGTCTGGATGTTTTAATAAATTACTCATTAGGTAAGATAGGGAAAATTAATTTCATTTTTAGTGTGAATATATAATATGAAGTTAATTTGGTTGCTATGGGAGCATGTGCTTACCATGAGTGAATGTGGTTGCTATGGGAGCATTTGGTTGCTACTTTACATGAAGTAGTTGCTATTAACAAAACAACATGCATAATTGGAACATGTTTATTATTTTCTTTTTAAATTATTGAATATTGTAAGCAAGACTTGACTGCACTGAATCTATGATTCAAAACTACAGAAATCTTGGTGGTAATCATTTCTGTTGAGTTCAACAATCATTTTCATTCCTAATCCATAATGTAGTCAATAACTTGGCAAATTTCTTTTCTGAGATTACTATACAGCCATCAAATAGGTACATGTCCTTACAGTAGAGACATTTTCGGTCACCAACCTTTGTCCAATGTATTCTGTTAAATTTTAAGAGTGTGTATGTAAGAGTACCTATACACTTATATAAAGAATGGTTATAATTTGGTGAATGGATAACACAAATGTAAATACTGAATTTGATGAATGGATAAGTTCATATGTTAAATGAAGGATTTGCCCACAAATGTACAGAGAAAACATTGGTTTAGTGGTTACAGTTTACATAAACCATGCTTTGCAATATAACTCTTGCAGAATGGCAAGAAATATCTAACATCTATGAAGTGAAAAATAAAAAAAGAATATTTCATTATAGATATAATAATGAAGACTATTAATACTTCAATTTATGATTCACATTTTCACTTTTTAATTAGTAATGAATAATACTTGGTGTTTTGGAGTCCATTCCCATAATATGCATGAACATTATCATTTGCAAATCAAACACATGTGACATGTGGTTATATTGTTGAGGTATGTATAATATTTACATTATAACACAACTCAGAAATTAATTTAAAAATAGAATTATTTTTTGAAACAACCAGCAGAAGAAGAGGAGTGACCAAAACCATGTGACGAAATCCACTATGCTTTTAATGAAAAAGATTGTATTTTATGCAATCATTAAACTATTTATATGATTAAGAATACATGAATTATGATTGTGTATCGTGAAAGGATGTGAGGCGGACAGATGTTCCCATTCACTAGGCATTGAATCAAAGTATAACCATGCACAGTCAGATATAAACAGAAAATCATGAAACTAGACACAAAAGAATAAAATCAACTTTACCTGCGGAAATTAGGAGTTTGCATCATGTTATCCTGATTGGTAGTTTTTAAATGCAACAAAATTCTAGAATCTGGAGAGTTGGTTCTTAACTCTTATGTGTTCAGCGTCACAGTGTGCACAGTGGCAGACTACAATGCTGCCACCCCTCCAGTAAAATGGTAGATTCCAAATGGACACTAAAAAGTCTGATATAATGAGAGTGCAAAAGGGCAGGGACAATCAGAAGATATTTTGTATGACAACAATGTTAGTAGGAGTAACTGAAAATATTAAAGCAGGCAAATAAAACTGCACAAGTTTGAACTAGTAGGTCATAAACGAGGCAATATAAAGTTGTAACAGCTGTGTACTCACACATAAAACTATAATGATATTGGCTGCTTAATTCATGCATAAAAATCAACTACACAAACAATTTCAAACAACATTGATAAAATTGTGCAGAAAAATCTCTAAACATTTTAGTTTCTACAATAAAAATGTTTAAATGAAAAGAAAAAAACGAGTAAAAATTACTGATATATGTTCAATAGAAAACTGTGATCGTGTGCACTGAGTGTATAAAACAGTACATGCCTAGCAGACGTTATATAAAATAAATAAGTGATTCACAGTATTTAAGTGAAAGAACTAACCTCCATGACATATCAGTAGATCAGTGCATAAGCCAACTCAAATGTACAGTCTACTTTGGATAACACAGCACTCACAGGAGTTTAAATTGTAATATAGAAATGTCTGTGTGTCAGTCAGACATACACCGACCACTGCTGCTGCTGCTGACACACATACGTTGCATTTTATTGTTGGGATTATAATAGCATGGTATGTATGTCAGTACTAGAAACAGTTGGAGGTTAATTCATTGAGAACATAATTGTTATGATGCAGTGTGACGACAGCGTTTAAATATCAGTGGTGTGGTGGCGACACTGGTAGATTAGAATCATTCAACGGTATACCACTTGGCACTGTGGCCAGGTGTATTTGTCAGGGAATGTGATTGGCTGAAATTTGTTTTAGGTACCACTTGGCATTGTGGCCAGGTGTATTTGTCAGGGAATGTGATGGAATGAAATTTGTTTTTGGTACCACTTGGCACTGTGGCCAGGTGTATTTGTCAGGGAATGTGATTGGCTGAAATTTGTTTTAGGTACCACTTGGCATTGCGGCCAGGTGTATTTGTCAGGGAATATGATGGGATGAAATTTGTTTTTGGTACCACTTGGCACTGTGGCCAGATGTATTTGTCGGGGAATGTGATTGGCTGAAATTTGTTTTAGGTACCACTTGGCATTGTGGCCAGGTGTATTTGTCAGGGAATGTGATGGGATGAAATTTGTTTTTGGTACCATTTGGCATTGTGGCCAGGTGTATTTGTCAGGGAATGTGATGGAATGAAATTTGTTTTTGGTACCATTTGACACTGTGGCCAGGTGTATTTGTCAGGGAATGTGATGGAATAAAATTTGTTTTTGGTACCATTTGACACTGTGGCCAGGTGTATTTGTCAGGGAATGTGATGGAATAAAATTTGTTTTTGGTACCATTTGGCATTGTGGCCAGGTGTATTTGTCAGGGAATGTGATGGAATGAAATTTGTTTTAGGTACCATTTGGCACTGTGGCCAGGTGTATTTGTCAGGGAATATGATGGAATAAAATTTGTTTTTGGTACCATTTGGCACTGTGGCCAGGTGTATTTGTCAGGGAATGTGATGGAATAAAATTTGTTTTTGGTACCATTTGGCATTGTGGTCTGGTGTATTTGTCAGGGAATATGATGGGATGAAATTTGTTTTTGGTACCACTTGGCACTGTGGCCAGGTGTATTTGTCAGGGAATGTGATTGGCTGAAATTTGTTTTAGGTACCACTTGGCATTGTGGCCAGGTGTATTTGTCAGGGAATGTGATGGAATGAAATTTGTTTTTGATACCACTTGGCACTGTGGCCAGGTGTATTTGTTGGGGAATGTGATGGGATGGAATTTGTTTTTGGTACCATTTGGCATTGCGGCCAGGTGTATTTTTCAGGGAATGTGATTGGCTGAAATTTGTTTTAGGTACCACTTGGCATTGTGGCCAGGTGTATTTGTCAGGGAATGTGATGGAATGAAATTTGTTTTTGATACCACTTGGCATTGTGGCCAGGTGTATTTGTCAGGGAATGTGATGGAATAAAATTTGTTTTAGGTACCACTTGGCATTGCGGCCAGGTGTATTTGTCAGGGAATATGATGGGATGAAATTTGTTTTTGGTACCATTTGGCATTGTGGCCAGGTGTATTTGTCAGGGAATGTGATGGAATGAAATTTGTTTTTGATACCATTTGGCACTGTGGTCAGGTGTATTTGTCAGGGAATGTGATGGAATGAAATTTGTTTTTAATACCATTTGGCATTGTGGTCAGGTGTATTTGTCAGGGAATGTGATGGGATGAAATTTGTTTTTGATACCATTTGGCATTGTGGTCAGGTGTATTTGTCAGGGAATGTGATGGAATGAAATTTGTTTTTGGTACCATTTGGCATTGTGGCCAGGTGTATTTGTCAGGGAATGTGATGGAATAAAATTTGTTTTTGATACCATTTGGCATTGTGGCCAGGTGTATTTGTCAGGGAATGTGATGGAATGAAATTTGTTTTTGGTACCACTTGGCACTGTGGCCAGATGTATTTGTCAGGGAATGTGATGGAATAAAATTTGTTTTTTATACCATTTGGCATTGTGGCCAGGTGTATTTGTCAGGGAATGTGATGGAATGAAATTTGTTTTTGGTACCACTTGGCACTATGGCCAGATGTATTTGTCAGGGAATGTGATGGAATAAAATTTGTTTTGGGTTCCATTTGGCACTGTGGCCAGATGTATTTGTCAGGGAATGTGATGGAATAAAATTTGTTTTAGGTTCCATTTGGCACTGTGGCCAGATGTATTTGT